GCCAATTAGAACGAAATCAGCGTCTGAATATGTTTTTCACCCGTCGTTGATGATATTCGTGAGAGGCTGCCGAGACTGGATCGCGTTAACTTTGTTCCAATACGCAACAGCGATTCCTCCTCGTTTCTACAATTTGCCAACTTGCATTACATTTACAAGTCGAACATGGTTGCAACGTCACTTGAGCGACGACGATGATGAGAACGATGAAATTTTTCCTATTTTCCATACAGATCTCTGCGATGGAGCGTTCTCGACTCGAGAGGTTTGTCGATGAGAGAGAGAGAGAAAGAGAGAGTTGTTCCGTCCGCCACCACGCGACAGGAAACTTAATAATCGAGGGGAGAGAGCCATGTTTAATTAAAACCCAGTCTTACAATTCTGATTCAGTTGGGAGAGCTCGAGCGACGTGCACTTGTACCGATGCCTCGACTCCAACGTGGGTATAACTATGCCGATGGCCAGGTTCGAGTCTTTCTCGTGGTAGCATACCAGGGCGTCGCTTTCCTTTCCATCTGAAATTCGTCAAAATTCATGATTAGCACACATTCAATCCAATTACGATCCAATTACAAGTTGAAACGAAAACGGACGGTGAAACAAATTTCTGAGAAGCGGGGAGAGTTGTATACCTCGAGTTTATAACAAAAAAATTATTTATCAGTTTCGTGACAAAGGCAATTTTTCCTCTTTCTCCCTTTCGAAGAAGAATCGTAAGAATCTCGATAAATGCCCCGCCATCGACGATGACTTTTCAAGTCGATGATTTCTCTTTCCTGGAAAAAGAGAAAGAGAGAGAGAGAGAGAGCAAGAGAAGAAAGAAATCAGACGTTCCGGATTTCTCTTTTCTGGAAACAAATCGATCGACTTCTAGGAACCGTGATGGTCTCGTTTCACTTTCTCCGATGGTTATTCGGCTAATAGAGAGAAAACGGTCTCAGCGAAACGTTAACGGAGGAGGCGCGTCTCTTCCGAGAAGAATCGTAATTCGCGCCAATTTTCCAGCTTCCGTATTAGGGTCGATCGGCGGCACGATCTTATCGGACGAGAGACAACGCCATCTCTTTTTTTCGTGTGCAATGTTCGATTTTTCCTTCTCCTTCGAGCCGTATCCTCGCTTCAAAAATCCGCCACAGCGTTTTCTATCTGAAAATCAACAATCCGATAAGCGGCAAGGCTGAGGCTTATCGCGAAACGGGGGCTACTACTCGGCGAATAGAGATGTATAAGGAGAGGAACGGACCGAGGAATTACGTTTAACGACGCGTCGTTCAATGGAGAAGGTACCCCTCGATTATCCGGAACAGTTAGATCCGAGTTCGTGAGCGAAATAAAGAGAAGGAAGGAAAGGGAAAAACGTTAACGCAGCCTCGTGGATTAAACCGAGATTAACCGATCTCGAATCGCTGGGGATATTAGGGTGAGTATCCTTGGAGATATCGAGCGACGCCGAACACTATTCGAGATATTCTTAAAACTTGGAATAGTGAGGATTCGATATGTTAATTTGGACAAAGAAAAGAAAGACAATTGATAACCGTCTCTTAAAATGTTCATGATGAGTTGGAATGAAGGGAGGAAANAAGTTGAAAGAGAAAAAAAAGGAAGAAAAGGGAGCCAAAGAGTACGAAGTCATGA